ATAATGTAAAAGTCTTTACTGTCACTTTTGATCAATTGTAATGGGTCCTCGCTGAATAATAAATGAATGAATATAATTGCTGAATGAAATACTTTTTTACTTTTTTAATATTTGAAATGTATATATTATATAACATTTTATAATAAATACATTTCAAAATATATCTCATTACACTGATATTGAACTACACACTAACTGAGGTGAATAAACCTTTTTGTTAAAATCTTGGTACAAAGTGTATTAACAGACTACATATAAATCTTCATACACAGACAAAAGATGGCAGCAGCTTCACTACAGGGTGCAAAAAGGCCTCCGTAAGACAAATCGGATACATCTGTTCAGTAAAGCATTCAAATGGGGTTCAAGGGCAGCTAATTAGCATCAAAATCTGCCAAAAGCTTCTTAACACCACACTGTTTTACACAGGCCACTCTGACCAAATTATTCTCCATAGTGACTTACCTAAAGAAATACATATATCATGCTGTTTAGCTAAAAAGACTTGAAAATGAAAATAATGGAATAATAATGGTAAATGGTATAACAATAACAGACACATTAAGAGTGCCTGACTAGCACTGACTCAGTGATAGTGATCTTTGCCTGGTCACTCATGCAGTTAATGCTAAACAAACTTTGCTAAATAATTCAAAAAGAGCATAAGTAATGCACAGCGTTGAGGGATTCTCTTATACGCCCCAATGCACAGCGTTTGTTAGGTACTCAGCCCAAAGAGAAGTGTCATTATCCAAAGACCATCAACCTTTGTCAAGTTCCTCGACATGGTGAGGGGAAACAAAGGGGTCAGATGAAGCCATCGTCTTCTGCCTCACCGTCCCCATTGAGATGGCACTCTGGGTTATGGAGAGTCTGATCAGCACATGGAGCACTGAACCCCCTCTCCCACTATATCATGGGATGTTTTATAAGACCACTGATGGTCACGCAATAGTAAAAAAGGTAATATATTGTGGGTAATACAAGAAAATGTAAAGAAAAAAATATGCTCCTGACATCCAAAGTGACTGCAAACAAATTTTTACTAAATGTTAACTAAGCATTTTAACTATTAAAAAAGGACCACAGAGTAAATGAAAAGATAAATCCAGACACGACACATAGCAACATCATTACATGTAGTGCAATCCATTAACATGAGATTTAAAACACACCAGAACGGCCACATCTAACATTCCTGTGACATTCCTCCAGCCTGCATCATACCGTCAGAAAATGACACTCATACATCAGTAATAAAGACCCATATAACTCTAAATGCTTCCATACCCTTCTCATTAGAAGGTCTCAAATAACCCCTTTCAGTTTCTTGGCTGGCCCATCTGGAGAAACACCTGCCCCGGCTCTAACATGTTATCAGGTGTTTAACTATTTCTTGGGGTCAGAGGACAGTAAATATGTGGGCCTTCCTGTCACAAATTTCTATAAGGGAAAGTTATCCACTCAAACAAGAGTGGAATCCACAAATCAGTTGTCAGTTGAAGCTAATCTATTAAGCACTAACGGGATGTCAGATTCCTCCATCAGTTCCATGTGATATATGAAGCATTAAGCATTTAAATTCAAATATAAATGATATAATTGGATATATATATATTTTATATATATTTATTATGAAGCACTTTTAATACAAATATAAATTATATATTGACCCATACATACAGTGTGTCAAAAAAAATTAATTAAGCTGTGATTAAGCTGATAATAATAATATATTTTGCATAACAGCTCTAAAATGACTATATAATCAGTCTTGTTTCTCTTTCTGGTTCAGTCACTATAGTGCTGTAAATGTTTCAGTAAAGTCTTGCACATAGAGCTTGCTAATTAGGATGCACATTTAAGTAATCAAACAAATTCTGTCCCTTTCCTGAAAAAAAAAAAACATGTCCGAACATCTACAAACTACAACTACAGTCTGTATTTTACATTTACTAAGCTTTACTGCTTTGTATTATGCTAACATCTCATGATGCAAATTTCTTCAGTTTATATTTACAGAAAATAGCATATAAGCCTATGTCAGATTGTCTTGAGTTACACCACCCCCACCCAGATAAAGTGAACCCAGGAGAACTAATGGACGATAAATCTTATTGCGTGGGCACTGGGATTTAAAAAACGAAGACAAATGCATTTTTCATGCTGGTGAGGACCCTTTCATTTCTTAAACATTTTCTTCTTGAATTAATTGTTCTGACCGTGTCCCTTCAACCAAGACTGCAGCCCCACCACAAAATCAGACTGTCTACAGATCAGAGGTGTAAAGAGTACCTAAAAACCATACTTGAGTAAAAGTACAGATACCTTACAGTGAAAATTACTCCACTACACGTTACAAGTCACCAATCCAAAACAACTTGAGTAACTAATTACATTTACTCCAATACTTTACACCTCTGCTACAGATGGGCTTTAGACACACATCACTCTATAATTCCTTTCTTCCTATGCATGTTTGCAGGAGACAATGCATTTCCTTTTGCCCCTGACTGGACGAGACTATAGGCGTTAGTGTATTTAACACTGAAAACTGCTTTACAGCAATGTACTATATGAATTTAAACCGATATTGGTAACACTTTACACTAAGGCTGTATTATGTATTATGCAATAGTTAACATGAACTAACAATGAAAAACACATTCACATCATATATTAATCTCGGTTATTGTTATTATCTACATACAGTATATACTACGTACATATTTAACATTTAAATTATAAATGATAGCATTATTTCAAGCATTATAATCTAATGTTAAGCATAAATGATTCAAATGTATGAATTTATGAAATTTATTAACTCATGAAATGAATTAATTAAACATAAAACATGTATTATTAGTAGTAGCAATATGAACAAAAAAAATATAATAAATATGATTAAATTAACATTTACACCTATATTAATAAATGCTATAAAAATGTATTGTTAATTTTCAGTACATGTTACCTAACACATCAACTAATGTTAATGTATAGAATAATACTGATATCCTTGAATTTGAAGGTGAAGAGAATGACAGCACGAGTCAGTCTGCTTTACTACAGTACTTTCACTTTGCATTGTCTGAAATGGCCTCGGTCGTTGTGATGTCATCAGGGCTTTCCCAGTAAGAAAAGGGCTTTCCACCTCAGTTGAAATGTTTTCTCCTGTCTGATATCAAAGGAAGCTTGGCTCATAAGTAACTTGATGTATTTCATCTCGCTGCCTGCTAGGTGAGAATATTTCGCAGTGTTCCTTCCCCTTGTGTCCTTGGCTGCCTGTGTTGAGTCTGTATTCACACACCCCCTACACAGACTACAGATAAAATGCACTTCACTCTATCTTTTGCACTGACAAAAATCTCACTGTGGAAATGAGCATGGAGTCATTTATCTTCTCCACCACCACGCAGGAGCATTACCACTAAATGAGATTAAGCATCGACACTAGAAGGAGAAAAACAACAGTCTGGGCTACGACTGGCACTTTTATAAAAAAGTAATTGAAATGATAAGACGAGGTTCTCATGGTTGGTCAACAAGGCATTGACTGTGAGCCAAAAAAACATTAAACAAAACATTTTTGCATTATATACTGTATAATAAGCTGCCTATGTATTATAGATTTTAATGTAGAACTGTACTGAAAATGCAGTGAACAAATGGAAAGCAGCAATACATACATACACACTGAATTAACCACTCCTACAAGCATGGCAAACACAAAGCAGCACACAAAGCTCCATCAAGGCAAGGAATTGACCCATATCAAATAAAATCTGCCTTGTTCCTAAAAAAACAACACTGCTGTATTCATGCACCTGCTGCATATTTTAATATTAAATATTATAGATCCATTTTTGTGCATGTATTCACACTAGTGGAAGTAAGAGCGCTTCATTGCTGAATAGTTCCATATAATACAGTACAAATGCATGACACTGAGGGCAGGGAGGGACATTTCTGACCTTTTATGAATGCCGTGAATGACAGGTTGCCACTAGCTGTTGACAGAACATCAAAATATTGTAAAATATTTCTTGAAAATGTAAAATATTCAAATTTACAGGTTAAAAAAAAAACTTTTTTTGGTGACTGCATATTTCACAGTTCCTAATTGTACTATATGTCACTAAACTATATAATGTAAATATACAAACATATTTGAACTATTTAAATCTGTTTGTCACTGTAAACGTACTGAAATATAGGACAAATGGACAATAAAAGGCCACGTGATAATTTATAGTTCATCAAAATGCCTCTTCAGCAACAGTAGTCAATGATAACGTAAATACAGAGCACCCACACAAAGACAAGACACATCAAGCTATCATACAACACTAAAATAATGCAATAAACAAACTGAACCTAAAAGGCAACATAAATCACTCTAATTTACATAGTAAAATGCCCCATTCCCCATAAATAAATTATTGGTGAAATGTTATTTTTTTACCAATAAAATATACATAATGCATTGTTAAAATCCATAAATTATATTTCACAAACATTTTTACAAAATCTTACAGTAAAATAACGTATTAGGCCTATATGCATTAAAACGTATGATTTTATCGTGTATTATATGGTAAGGTAACAGTTCTGTCATCTCAGTAAGTATGTTTTCTATAGAATTTTTATATTCTTTTTTGTTAAAATTCCTAACATTTTTAGAACTAGCTCTTCATTATAAGCAGAAGCTTTTAGCGCGAGCGTGCTCTTCAGTCTAATTGTCTATAACGCAAGCGTTCTAGTTTTGACGCAACGCTGTCAAACAAGCTGCCGCTGTTATTTACTCATGTTTACTATCTTTCTGCTGTGGTTTGGATCAGGGAGGTGCAGTGAATGAAAAGCATTTTACACCAAACCATCTAAAAAGCACTCTTCTAGAGCTGAAAACAGGACATTTGTTCAGATTTTAAAGGGTGTGCTCGGTCATGCATTTATCCAATCGCAGCAGGTTAAATAAAAAGGTTGCGGCTACTTACCGAAAAGGATTCAAACTACTTTAGTCAAACTTTTTTATCACGGCAGATTTATCCTTGTATGGCAAAAACCGAAGAGAGTCATGTATATCAATAGTGTCCTTTCAGTTGTCTGTACTCATGACACGTCCGAGCTGAATCCCTGTGAACTCAAAGGTTCCTAAAAGGCGGATGAGACGCTCGGCTGCGCCTATCAGAGGTCGAGAGGAGGCGCGTCCCGATGGATCCACACACACACACACACACACACACACACACACACACACACACACACACACACACACACACACACACCCCCCATACTGTACTAGGTTTTATTCCCACTACTTGGAGCCTTGTCTAAAATATCTGGTTATGGAGATAAGTTATAAGCTGTACATTAGATAGCTAATTATATCCACTGTATACATTTTTATCTTACTTTAGGATAAATCCACAATTAATATGTCAGAAAAACGTTGAATCGATGGTTCTATTTTAAAGCCGTTTTGTGCATAATTGCCGCGTGAATTGACTTATGTGCATCTGGTGCGTAAAAACGCTATGCATTTATGATGGCCAAAAATGCCGCAGATAGGCAGTTCATTAAGAGTCTTTTCAGTTGGCCCTCTGCTGGTGATAACACACAGTAAATGACTGTGAAACGTCAAATCAAACAATTCCTCTCAGTGAACCACAACCAAATAGCTTAATTGTTGACAAAAACAGACTTATAAATGGTTATTATCCAACATTCATATTGCTGACTTTGGTAAAATAAGAAATAAATCAACAACTAATACAAAATCACATAATTCAAAAGCTAACTATTAAAAAATTAATATGTAGCAACAGCCAAAAATAAATTACTTTCTACTGAATATTAATGGAGACACATAGCCTAATTTGTGTAAAAAGAAATGGTAGTCTGTCATGGTTTAAAATGTAAAGGACACACTCATAGTAAAAGGCCCCTCACCCATGGGCCAAAAAGTATTGCAAAATGCATATAAGCACCTAGAACAAAACTTTTTTTTGTCTTCAAATATATGTGATACTTTCAGAGATTGTCACTGGCTATAAATCTAAAACATTAAAAAAATGACTAAATATTAAATCCAATGTGACCCTGGACCACAAAATCAGTCATAAGGGTCCATTTTTATACATCATCTGAAAGCTGAAGCTTTCCATTGATGTATGGTTTGTTAGGATAGGGCAATATTTGGCCGAGATACAACTATTTGAAAATCTGGAATCTGAGGGTGCAAAAAAAAAAATCTAAATATTGAGAAAATCGCCTTTAAAGTTGTCCAAATGAAGTCCTTAGCAATGCATATTACTAATCAAAAATTAAGTTTTAACATATTTATGGGAGGAAATTTACAAAATATCTTCATGGAACATGATCTTTACTTGATATCCTTATGAGTTTTGGCATAAAAGGAAAATCGATAATTTTGACCCATACAATATATTTTTGGCTATTGCTACAAATATACATGTGCTACTTAAGACTGGTTTTGTGGCCCAGGGTCACAGATGACCTCAAAATCAGTTTTCACTGATTGTACATAATGACCTTTATGAATCAGGAAAATTTAGTGGCAAACAAGTGATCAGGAAAATGCTTAGCATTTGGTTTTGGTTTGTTGCTATTTAGTGTTTTGGGAGAAACACTAAATAGGCCTTTTACCCCGGAGGAAAAGTAAATCTAGGTTGATATACCAGATCTGTGACCAGATTATTCACATTTACAACATCTTACTTTTAACAAGCGTATCAGGATCAGGTTTGGAGCACCTTGAGTTATTATCTTTGTCGGCGTCCAAGTTGGTATCTAGGCACGTAAATCTGCAAGTAAACATTACTTGTGAGGATGAGTTAAAAGCTATGCGGGGGGTGACCCGTAAAGCGGGGAGCATCACAGACCCCCGTCACCGCTGTGCCTTTGAGCAAGGCCCTAAACCCCAGGTAGCTTCAAGAGGACTGTCTCTGTAATTAGTGCACAGTGAATCACTTTGATTAAAAGCGTCAACCTCACACATTACTATATCATGTATGCATGCTGTAAAAATGCCTTGCTTAACTTGATATTAACTAACTGTGTGCTAAACCTCCAAATATTATATGCACTGATGTCATGAATGGGTTGTAAAATGCTCTATGCTACAAAAATCCAAAATGTTTGCCCAAGGCAACAATTACCAACTTAAAGACAGAGAGCCTGATGAAATGTGACATGTGGATGAGCAATGAAGATATACAGTGTTGCATGCAGAAGTCAGTAAAACAATGAAACAAGTTGTTGACACTTATAGGTAATTTTCTCAATACATAATTTTGAATAATTGATAACGAATTATACTTGAAAATAATTGTCAATATTTTATTTTAAATAATATACAATTTAAATAACTTAAAAATAAATAATAGTAAAATAAATTAAATAGAGCAACTGGCTCTTTTCCCATGTGTAGCCTGCAAAATATTGACAATTAAATAAGTAATTAAAAATGTGGTGTTTTGAAGACAACTGGCTTCCTCTGGAAAAGCTCTGGGGCCCTAAAAACATTAACTTTAAGAGTAAATAAATCCATCATAGCTACTTAAAAGCCTGTGTCTAAAGATCAACTTCAAAGCAAAGAATCTTTGCACAGGATGAGAGTTTGATTTGTAGTGAGTGGATTTCGACAGCGGTGAGGTAAGCCTCTGCTGTTTTAGGGAAGTGCAGAGAGATTGATGGCAGGAGTAGATCATGAGGTGAGATCAGCCATGTAAATACAGTGTTTTCATGTGGTTTACTCACTGTACAGCTCCCATTTTGAATGTAAGTACCATAGAACACAATACAAAAATCTTGCTTGATAATAATTGAATTAGATGTCCAGAGATTGCTCGATAATAATAATCAAAAAAATTCTCTCACTCGCATTTTTCATTTTTCTCTCAGGCTTCTGTAAAAGAATAACACATTCATCTCCGTACACGAATTTCCTGTCTGACAGGCTAAGATAGTGTCAGGAATGGATATCACAAGAATGGACTGACGGGATGAAGAAAAGAGCATCAGAACCATGTACAAATTTTGTGCATGACTGGATTCCACTTGAAGTTTAAATCTAAAATCAGCCATTCAGCCATAATTACAACCTCCTCCTGCGGGGTCGGATTTCATGTAATGGAGGTGCAGTGTCTCACTGGTATGCAAAGCCACGAGATAAGGATCATTTTACTACAGGTTGAAATGAACAGTGAATAGCAGAGAAAGAGGAGTTCACAAAGACACTAGAGAAACAGAATGAAGGCAAATAGTTCAGTCACAATTCTTTGCATGCTTTTGGCATCATAAAGTATATTGACAAAAAAAATTATATATATATATATATATATATATATATATTGCTTGCACGAGGGGCATCATATTGGAGAAAACGGAATCAATATATACTGTTTGTGTTCTGTAATGCACATTGCATGCAAAATCTGACTTTTCTTCTTTAGACAAACACAATGGTGTCTATGCACCTTATTTTGGAATATCTGTTTATGATTTCAATAATATATTAAAATAATATGATACCAAATACCAGTTTGCAAAATCAAGCAGCCTAACAGACTGTTTTTCTACAGCTAAAATAACTGGAAGGAGATGACACCGGAAGCTTCACACATTCAACTTACAAATGGCCTCATCTGCTCGAATAGCCTCATACGAATGGCCTCATACTTTAAAAATAAGGTGGATAATCTCTTTATGGCAGCTGTGACAATTTTAAACGGTAAGAGAATTAAATGAATGTGTGGCATTATGTGAGGCCCTGCTCTAGGGAAAAGGTTTGAGACTATTATGTTGATACTCTCTTTAGTAAGACCACATAAATAATTCTAGGATCCGCTCTAGAACTTCAACATTCCACAAGCTCGTCTGAAAAAAGAGCTGCTATAAACACCAAGGAGAAGGTAACAAACAGATTAAACTACCATTGTCACTTCTGCCTCAGGGCTGTAGAGCTGCAAACCAACACCAGCAGTCATTACAGGCCTGCACGCTCTCTGAGGAACATCTCAGTTCATTGCCTTGAGAATTTTTCATACCTGAAAATTTGCCCATGTGCCAAGTCAAAAACACATTGCTGAACTGACTATTACTCATCACACACGATACGCTTTTTTTCCCCCCAGAGGGGAATAACACCTGGCATGTCCTCTTACCCGTCACCAGGCGTCTAGTTGAGTTGGTTGGCATGCGAGAGGCACATAATTATCTCAAACGGAATGAACAGGTTGGTTTTGATGATGTGCACTAAAGGGACAGTGGTGAAGGCATGACTGCCTCCGGCATACTTCAATCATCCATTCTGGTCTCTTCAAGGAGCACCGATTCTTCCTCACAAGTCAATCATTTCTACAGAACAAGATAAATGCCCATCTGCAAAAGAGAATTTAGAGAAGAAATGCTGATAGCAATTCTGCATTCCTACTTTTGACTTATGCCACTTTTTTTTATTCTGCTTTCATCTACAGTCATATCTCAAGGCATTTGCTTTAGGCGATTTTTGTTGTGCTCAGGTCATATACTCATACATTACGCTGTAAATTCGGGTTAACAGGTTAGTTCATCCAAAAATTAAAATTCTGTCATAATTTACTTACTTATGTCACTATGAAACCCACAAGTATTTCATTCATCTTTAAAACAAAAATTAGAGACCTTTGTAATATTCAGTACTTTTCTGTCAATGTAATCAAGATTTTCAAACTTCAAAAAGTACATAAAAGTAAAAGTAATCCATATGAAAAGAGTTGTATAATCCAAGTCTTCCGAAGAGACATAGGGCCAGCTGCTTACAGTCTTAAAAAAGTTAGTCACAATAAGGTTGATTGGCCCAATTTGAATCAGAAAAGTAATACTGATTACCTTGTGGCTAACTGCTAGTGGGTCAAACTAGTTCTAAGGCACAGTCTTAACATGGTGGCTATCTTTATGAAACTGGCCCATGATCACTTTATATGATGAACAGATTAAAATTTTATTCACATACAAACATTGATCAACAAACATACATAGAGTACATCAAATATATTAAACGAAAGCTCAGCTGTGCTTGCTTGATGCACAAGAACCAACCGTTTTTCATTTTCGGAATTTTGGAGAACCAAAATTTAATTGGGTGAACTAACCTTTTAATACATTTTAATGTGGGAGGGAAAATGAGACATTTAGATGAATTCTTCAGCTTTAGCCAAAGTTAATCATTACATTTTAATTTTGTTAAAAATAATTTGTTTGAGATCTAACAATAATTGGTTGTTGAATACCCTATTAGATTCCATGCAGCAACAATCTGAATCCAAATTCTATTTCTGATCCTTAAACGTTTGGCAAGAGAGGGTCAACAGGGGCCAATGTACTTTCAATCAGCCCAAAGTTATTTCTTTTTCATGTTGAACGGTTTGTTGGCAACGCAGGGGGTGTACGATCTTCAGACTTCACAGAAACGGCTCTTCACATGTGCTTAAAGATCACAGAGTGAGATACACCTGTCCTCTCCTGTCAGCTGCACGTCAGCATTTAAGCAGAGTTTTGAGTCTCTACTTTTAGACCAGGCTCCAGTATTTGTACAAACTTTCTTAATTTATTCTTTAAGGTTATAGTTTATAATGTGATTTGTTTGTAACTTCATTTTTACTCTGACTTTTTCTCTCTTACATGTTATACTTCTGATTTCATGTTTAAGAATTTCACTGTATTTTGCAGTTTTTATTTAAAAGGTCACAAGCCCCTAATGACTGTCTCAGAATCATAAGCTACTGCTCTGCAATCCTTCAGAAGAGCTTCTCGCTCATTGGTATTTTTATTGTCCAATGACTATGTGGCACTGAGGGTACAGGGCTGTCTTTGAGGTCTGGTTCAACCAGGTATCAGAGAGGTCACATCCTCATGGAGAACAAAATCCCTCTGGAAACACTGCCGGCTGCCAATTAGTGCAGTGATCTCTGGCCCTGCAGTGGAATGTTAAGCCCGGCTTGCCGTCACAGAGCATATACACAAGCGGACAATGCAGCCGGGTGACTCATTCAGATTACAGGACAGGCCCGATCCAATGATCAAATGCGGCCAGTGCTGTGTTGGGATTACTACAGAAGGGTTGTCCAAAGAGGGTACTTGTTTTCAAAGTACATTTCTGGTTTGTCAAGAGCCCTTAGTAGGGAGAGGCTTTCCCATTGTATCTTTTTTTCACAATTTCATTCTAAACATCTAAAGGTGTAGAGTAGCTGCCAAGCAGTAATGGCCGGATTCTTGGATTTATGCCGAACTGATAAAAAAAAAAAAATTAAAAAAGCAGTACAAAGATTAGGAAATCTCCATATTCTTCAGATAAGGTATTATTGATTGCTTTTATTTCGTTTGCTGAAGATGTAATCATGTGCACAGTGCAGCCAATCACGAGTCACTTCCTTAACAAGAAGAACACAATTATTGAAGATGCCTGTGTGAGGAGACATCATCAATCCCCAGACTTCAATGAAACACAAATTTACACGGCGCCACCATAAAAAACAAGAGCAGGAATGAAGGTTGTTCATTGTTTGAGAGTATCAAATGCCATTCAGTAAATGAATGTTGTGTGAGTCCTAAATGTCTTCCTCTTAAAATGTACTGTGGCATTTTATTGCAGGGAAACTGTAGAAAAACATTGTATTTATTGTATATATTATATAATTACCATAAATCCATATTTTATTAATATGTGTTATGCAGTGGTGTTTACTTTATTTAGAAAATGAATCTTTAAAATAGCTCAGAAAATAATTAAATCCTACAAATAATTAAAAAATTTAAGAATTTTAGAAAAAAAAATGCATGGATTTTCCCCCCAGTATTTGTAAAACCTGATGATCATGTTGTGCTACAATGGAAGCAAGAAAGTCTGTACAAAGGAGCTCACATGATCAGTCACAAATTTGCATATTGGATTAATGACCTAAAAAATACATAAAAAAATGTAAAACATTTCTTAATTATTTTAAATATGTGTTTTTCTTTTTAAGCCATAACATTTTATTTCATCCCCCCCCCAGGTTTAAACTAGATTTTAAAAAGATTTCCAATTTGGACTCCACTTTATAATAAAGAATGCTGTTATAGTTTTTTTTTTTTTTAATCATGATGTCTTTTGGTTGGCTAACATGCTCACAGTAAAGCATCTGGATGGATCTGCACAGACTGGGTTCTGAATACTAAAGACACAGGCAGTGCAGATGAGAGCAGCAGCACTGGTACTGTTTTTCTCAATGGGAGAAAAACGACTCTCCAAAGCCTGAAAGTGACAGACTCCAACTCCACGCCTAATAAAACCAGAACAAAGACAGCCAGCAGCCAGAGCAAACAGCACACAAGGCGAGACAGTCAGCGGTGCAGGGACACACACACACACGCACGCACGCACACACATTAACTTCATAAGTCAGTGAAGCAGCTATACAGAAACCAAATCTCATTTCCTCTGCAACAATTTTAGAGGAAGAACCATATGTCATGTTTGGTTTAGAGAGAGAAAAAAACCCCTCATTATTCCAGACAGCAATGATATTAATGGTCCACAGCTTTGTGTCCCACACTGAGATCCTCTTAGGAATGTTTTTATTGTTCTTTGAGCTCTGAGGGGGAAGTTGCTCTTTTGTGCTGTTCGAGGTTCAGCTCCCTCCTCCAAATTTAAACCTGGGCTGTCTCATGTGAAAAGACAGAAACTGTTCTCAGATCAGCGTGGAATGAATTTTAAAAACGTAGCCCTGCTGCTCACATACAAAAAGCACAGCGGTATGTTATAGATTAAAGAGATGAGAACCCGTTTACACAATCAACCCAATGAAAGTAAACAAGACTATTTATCATAACTCACTTCAACCTTCATGGGAAGGAACACAGCTGCACTGTAAGGTTTTTACATTAACATCTATGAAACAGGTCTAGCAACTGAAACAGTATCTACATAAATTGTAATATATATATATAAAAAATGTTTATATTATTTTATTTCATTTTTAAAGTCTTGATGAAACAAATGAAAGTAGCGACAGATCCTTTCTTCACTATTGTGATGTGCAACCGAGTGAAATGGATTATCGAATAAGAAACGAAAAATGTAGGGTGGGAACTCGGTTCTATCCATCGGTTGTTGATTGGATGGAGGCAGATCGGCTAAATGTGAACTTGCAGTCAAATGTAGGATGGTGGAGCGGTTTATGACATTTTGATTAAAAATGATGGTCAAAAAAATTTAAACGAACAGATGAATTGTTCACAAGTTAAAATGCATTTAGAAAACAGATGAATTTTCATTTAATGCCAAATCGTAAAGGAAATATTAGTAGCATAATAAATGAATAGAATATTGATAATAAATAAATAGAATAGAATATTGTGCATGGACACATTATGGTTAGTTAAATATGGTAAAATTTTTATCTCTATTGTTTTTTGGGACAATAAAACATGACAGCATTTGCAATAGTCAAGTCAGAATAACTCAAAATATGCTTAATTTGTTAATACGTTTTGTTAATTGCTTTTACGTGATGCAGGTCCATGTTCTTAAAGCAGTGACATTTATGCAGCAGTCAAGATCTCTTTTAGAGACATTCGCACCATTTAGAAAACTAGAGCAACACTTCCCGCATCCTCTCATTGCTGTGCTCGGCCTGTGTGACAGAATCTGGGACCAGAGCCATAGGACCATCCCACATAGGGACTACTAATGCTCAGTGTGTGAGCCTCAATTTGCTCAGTGCAAATCCAGTGAGGCAGCATAAGTTAGTTACACTGCTTTAGCTGCTAAATTCTATTTTGCTACTCGTCTGTTTCTCTGTCCTATTTAGCACGTCATTAGTAAGCAGTCATCACAAGCGGTACTAGTATTCCATTGACAGACCTTCCTGACACTGCAACTTCCCGTGCACACAGTTCCTCCATCACTAGCTGACAAGCCGTCTCTTCACTGAATCCAGTGGTTTTGCTGATTGGCACAGTCACAATAGTTAGCCCCTGCTGGTATGCCATAACTACACCGTATGGCTGCAAAATGCGTCCTTCTCCACTGACGGACATTCAAACGTCATTTTGTTTTCTGAAAGAATAAAATCATTTGCAAGCAACGTCTAAGTCACAAATATTTCATTATATTATAGTAGATTATGTATCAGTGTCCAACTGTTTTGAAGGAAGACGACAAGTGTGAAATTGACTTATATTAAAGCTCCAGACAGTCACTAGTGAGTGATCTTCTTCTTCTCGTGGCGCATTAACCAATCAGCCAAGCCATGATGTAATTTTTCCTGCGGCTCCAGGCTGATTAGTCACTGATCAGTCGTGAAAAAATCTGTGAGCCCATCAGCAAAGATGGCAAATCACATTCTTCTAGTGAATCCTACAACATCCTGCCAGTGAGATGAATGGGAATACTAGCTTTCTCCTGCATGATATTACCATGGCCTTAATGAAAACATCCATCTGACTGTATTAATACTGCAGTGTGGGTGACGTCTCCTTTGTCTCAGTGATTTGTAGAGCTGTTCATCACCGAACACGTTCTTATGATTGAGGATCACAATGGTAACAGTCCCGTGAGAACTGGGACCAGCAGGATCACAGAATCCCAGATCCTGAAAGTGGGTGCTGCTGAGCTGTGGGTTTGTCTTTGGGCAAACACTGCATTACTGTGATTGGTCGGCAGCTCTACGTTGCAAACCATCCCTTCACAGCAAGATACGCACTCCTGCGAGACAGAACCACATTTTGTGAGTGAATAATTTTGATATAAGAGATTATTTTTGTATGTTGACATGCACTCAAAGAGTGGAATATTGTGTGTGTGATACTCACATGATGTGTGTTTTTGTGATGTCTACAGCCAGCTAACTGGCATTCTTCATGCACTGCACATCTTTTGGTAACAAATTTTGTCTTTCCATGATGGTTGAAGTGGTGTATTGTCATGCAGTACTGGGTATCTATAGATGAAGGAACAGGATATTAGGAATTTAAAAGGATATTGCTTTATAGAGTGCCTGAACAATTCAGTCGAAGAATTTTGTTTAAATCTAGAGACAACTGTGAAGGTCTGAGAGAGGTGGGTTTGTGTTTAGTAAACTCACTCTGAGGACACCACACATCTTCTGCCCAGCGGTTACAGCTGTAGTTGTCTGAGGCCTGTTCACATGTGAAGCACTTGAAACTCTTGGGGTATGGGGTGGCTGTACAGACATGAACACTGCATTATATTATCGCTATAAAGTCACTAGAAGTTAACAAAATTAATATGAATTAACAAAATTAACTGGAATAAACAAACTCACCTTCTGCAGCAGGCATGATATTGTAGAAGTCAATGCTGTCACTTGTCACAAAATCAACAAAAAGCTGGATGAGAACAGTGACTAACGCCAGATCTGCTGCCATGTTTAAAACACTGATAGTGACTCCTAAAATAAACAGTTGAAGATAAAGTTAAAGTCTCTGAACATTTAACTTCCACTCGTCCTAATATATATTTTGTTATGCACCTCAATATTACAATTATTGGCATGGACTGGGCAAATACAGACAGCTTCTAGTGCTTAAACATGATGAACAGGCACCCTTTTCTTTCACAGTAGGAAACATAAATGTTTATAACTGGGATATGATGAGTTTTTAAAAGGAATAACACAAATATTTTATGTAGATTATGTATGTATAATACGTAGTCTTGTTTGGTTACGAAATCATTTTATATGTAAAAATCTAAGACTGATGGCTACAGCTATAAGATAACCTACCTATTCATTCATATCCATCATTATCTCTTTTAACAGAATAAAGACAAGGCACAAATGCCTGAATAACAGGACAGAATTGTAGGTGATGGATGGATTGACACATTACTTCTTTTAATTACAGCAAAGGCTCATACTCTGAAGAAGTACAACCTATGAATCAATTCTAATCATCCAAATCCTAATCATGCATTATTCAATTTACTGAATGTGCTGGATTCACTAATATGCACATTTGCATAAAGCCCTCTGGTACTTCAGTTGCAAGTACGGTACCTATATTTTTATGCAGGAAACCAAAACCCAGCATAAGGCCTTATAACTGATGACAAGGGACTAAAGTCCCCATCCACGTCTTCCTGATTTCCACCCCATATTTGAAATGTCTTGCACCTGCCCTTGGCATTTTAAGAAGCAATAAGGCATGGTGACCTCAGAGGTTAATGATTAAGGCCGAACACATTCTCTAAAGACATTAACATGCTCTAGTGCTTGTTTCCATCAGTGTTCAATTACACAGCATTGACAATCTCACTGTGTGTGATGGACGTTAGCCTAGTGTGTAACTTATTTCCTGTCTGAATAAACATGAAAGTGCATCAGCGAAACATGCTGTGAGCAAGTTCTTTATATAGATTTACAATCTGGAAAATAAAGAAGTTTAAATTTCATCTTTCAAATGGCTTAAATTAAGTACTCGGCATCAGTTTAGTACACAAAAATCCACAGGCTCTACTTCATCTCTAGACAGACAGCATATGGTTTAAAAGCAAACAGATGAGTGTCATTAATCTTGTGGCAGTGACAATCTACTGCTGAGGGTCTCTAGCAGAGTAAAGAGAGATCACACGTATATAGTGACTAACAACACAACAGAAATCAGCTCCACTGACCCAGAGGTTTAAACGCACACAGGGGCCTGCAGTCTGAAGCCTTTCAGCTCCTAAAGTAAGTGCTCTTAGGTCACAAACCAGCCAGGGCACATGTAGAGACTTAAAAGCAGTTCATTAAGAGTGAAGAGCATAAAATGGTCATTTGCATGCATCTTTATGTTGGCATATTTATGCCTAATATAAAACTACACACACATGCACTCATTCTTACATAAACAAATGTTGCATTCTGAAACGGTGGGATTTTAGATCAAAACCATAGTCTAGTTAGATATTTAAATGCATTCTTTGAAATTAAATGTCTAAGTGAAATGAAATGTGATGTAAATGAGCTCTAGAGGCCAGTGCTGTCTGACTGGTTTAAGAACTTCAGAGGCCTGTTGATTGCTTCAGTCATCTGTGAAGCCACCTGAATAACCAAGACTTTTAACATAGTAACTTCTAAAAAAAACATCCGCGAGAGCCTATCTTCTAATTAATATTTAGAATTTACAAAAACTGACCGCTTACTAAAAACTCACTTGTTAAAAAGACTAAATTTGCTCGAAAAACAGGACATACTATAAAAGTAGCCTACTTATCCAATACAAATATGAAATAATATAATGCAAAACATACACCTCATTCACACAAAATAATATTTAGACAAAACATACATGAATTTGAAAATTAAAAAAAACAAAAAAAAACAAAGACTTACCTTTCGCCTGTATGGAAAGCTTATAGGTTTAACATGTCAGGCAGACAGATTCACTGAGTAAATGTGCAGAGGCTCCTATATTGACTGAGACTTTCAAAGGAAAAGGAAAGAGAAAGCTTAGAAGTCATTTTCCATTTCAGCTCTCTCTCACAACAACAGAAAAAAAAAAAACAGACCCCAACCTCCTGACATCCCCCGATTCTGATTGGACAGCAGGTGCATTGTGGGGGCGGAGCCTCTAGCCATTGTCTGAAGTCGACAGTGTGGTGTCAAGCCAGTCTAGCCCATGTAATTAGCAATCACACAAACGCACTTAGCACACACCCCATCCCCATAACCTCTGGAACACCCAGAACACAACACTCTGCTAGATTAACTGTACTTTCCTCAATACTCTACATGAGTGAATTGTGGATTGATTTTTGCAAAAGCTGTAGAGATCAATACTTAAATCCACTAAAGTTATGAGGTGCTTGATGGTCTTTAGGGGGTTGCATAGTCAACTGCTTTATTACTGTGAAATCTGTAACAGTGGGATTCAATTTATTCACTCTATTGTAAAACTTTTCATGAGGATCTTGGCTGACAAACTGAATTTTTTTGTAATATTTTACATGAAAGATGTCTCTTATGCTCACCAAAGCTGAATTTATTTGATCAAATGTACAGTTAAAAACAGTAATATTGTGAAATATTATTACAATTTAAAATAACTATTTTCCATTTAATTTTGGATATTTTAAATCTTATTTATGGCAAAGATGAATTTTTCAGCAGCCATTACTCCAGTCTTCAGTGTCACTATAAAGTGAAAGTGACGTGACATGTGGCCAAGTATGGTGACCCATACTAGGAATTAGTGCTCTGCATTTATCCCATCCTAAGTGCACACACACAGCAGTGAACACACACACACTGTGAACACACACCCGGAGCAGTGGGCAGCCATTTATGCTGCGGCGCCCGGGGAGCAGTTGGGGGTTCGGTGCCTTGCTCAAGGGCACTTCAGTCGTGGTATTGAAGGTGGGAGAGAGCGCTGTACATTCACTCCCCCCACCTACAATCCCTGCCGGTACGAGACTCGAACCCGCAACCTTTGGGTTACGAGTCTGACTCTCTAACCATTAGGCCACGACTTCCCCCCCTAAAGTATTTAAAGTATTAAAAAGTAAAAAGCATTAATTTCCTTTTCACAAAAAAAAAAACTTTTGAATGCTATTATACACCACCTTAGACCGACAGTTATTTATTACATCATAAATAGAGCTTTTTATTTCAGAACCAAGCATCACCATGTTTAAACCTTCTGCCATGCACTTGGATGGTGAGGAAAATGAACTGTTGAATTTGAGCCAGGACTGCTAACACATCGAAATGAGCAGTGATTGGCAATTATTTCTGTCCCATTTTTCCCCCACCATTGCAGCATTATGCAGGTCATTTAGACTTTAGTTCCTTAAGGGGAATTTACCTACTGTGATATACTTTGGATGAATTACAAATTAAATTATATCTTTTATGTAATTTAATTAGATTGACTGAATTATATATAGTTTTATGTTTGCAACATAAGTGACAACAATTTGACCTATAACTGTGAGCAGCACCAGTAGTTAGCAGTACAGTATGTGTTATTCCTCTATGGAGAGCTGCCATTGAGAGGTGAGATCGGCAGCAAGTGAAGTGAGGAAAAGACTGCTGAGTGTACAAATCACATCAACACCACAATAACAGGAAATACAGGAGGCTTCATACTGTATGTCACTACTGACTCTCTCATACAATATGCTGCATACAAACTTTTTATGTACTTTGGAAAATATATTATGGCCTTCTGCCAGTCCCCATAAAAAAGCTGCATGTGGAATATCAATGAAATATGATACAGTATTGCTCATATTATATCTTGAGATCTAGCTGTCCCTCACGGCTGTCACACTAAATATACAGCTGTGAAATCTTCAAGTCTTGTGTAAATATCACACCACAGTGAGTTTTAGTGCATCCTTTGAGCTTTATACACTCTAAAAAATGCTGGGTTGTTTCAACCCAATTTTGGGTCAAATATGGACTAACAGTGTACAAGTCTGATGTTCTGACAGGGTTAGAATTACAGGAATGTTCCCAGACTAACCAGAACTTTTAAAAATCCCTCAAATTAATGGTGGATTATCCTTTGAATATCCAAATAAAACACTGGTGATATTCTCAAATGCATTCCTGAATATTTCACGACTACCTTTTAGCCATAAACAGTTTGGTATTTCCCATTTATGCCTTTCAGTGAAGGTTTAATGCTTTACGTTTTACCATGTGTAAAAAATGAGAAATAGTTCTTTAAACACATTTTAGTGGAGAAAGCAAATCACCTTCTGTCTCGCCTCCAAGGAAACCACCTTCCAAAGTGACGATTTCAAAACAAAGAAGCTCAACAGGATTTGAAAGGAACGAATCAATGACAAATCGTCGTCACTTCAGGATCTTTGTTCAGTTAGTCTTACTAGTCAATTCACTATTTTTCATGAGCCAGAAAATAAATTAAATATGTAATATGATTTATAAAGTAAATCATTTGCTTTGAATGAAGATACTGTATGCATTTTCTAATATGACTTTCCTTCAACTGACATGGCATAAATTGTAAAATTACAAGTCATGATAATTATTTTATTTTTTTTTGTCAGAAATAGACTCCATAGCTCTTAAGAGTTAAATACAGTCACATGATTAACTTGTGTTTTATCCTGTGTTCTTTAGGTCAGGTAAAAGTCAGACTGAGTTCATAATCAAGGGAGATTAAATATTTTCAAAATATGATTTGCATTAATGCATGATCTTCGCTAGCATTAATGCCAAAACAAGATGTACATTATATGTCCAGGAATACTACAGTATATTGCTCTGTCAGCTCTTTTACTGGAAGACATTGCTGACAGATTTACTACTTTGTTTTGAAACTAGCAGATTTCTCTGTGTTGTGACAGAGACCAGAACACATAATGAGCTCTTCTATAGGTGTTGATGGTCCCGCCCTTCTCAAGGGCCGGGGGGCTTTTCTGATGGGCCAGTGGATCTATTTCATTACATTATACAGTGCTCTATTTTTGCTTCTTTGAGGTTACAGTTGAAAAGAAAAGAAAAGGAATCTGAAGAAACTGGGTAGGAAAAAAAAGTTATCTAAAAAGCCAATGTTCAGATGTACCAATCCAGAAATAATTTAGTAGCTTTTTGTCCTATGAACAGCATGATTTAATGCTACTCAGCAACATTCTCGTAAATGTGATCCTAAGTCTAGCAATTTAAAAACAATTTGTCTGAACACGAAGAGAAAAAAAAAAGAAGAAAACATTCCCACAGTTCACTTGGAAGCACCTGCATAGGTACGACCCAGATCCTGACCATTCAAGTGAAAAACACTTAAGCCCACATGTCATGTCTCTTGAAATATGACAGAACTGAGAGCTTAGCATGAAATAGAAAAATAAGCTTTAAAGACCTAAACGCCCTGGTTCCAGGACACTTTCATCAAATGAAAGATTTGAGGAATCAAATTTCTGTTGGGATATGGAGAGAAAGTGACATCAAAGACCTCCATGTTGCTCAGTACAAAGTAACGCTGGCAGAATTTCAAGTGCGCCACACTCAAGTGTGTGTATATTTACCAAGCTCATGAATCATTACAGCATAGCAACACTGAAAGAACAATACAAACATTCAAATGTTCCAGTTACCTGAGATTTCCTGTTGAGATCCTCAAAAGGGTAAAACACTTCCTCTTTCTCTCTTAAACCATTTTCCCCCTAAAGAAACTGCTGCTAAAAAAAAAGGAAAAAACTGTGGAGTAACCACACAATTAAATCCATCTATCCAGACTGCTTACTTGACAAACCTCTTCATTTCCTCTCTGGACTGAAAGAGTCCAGGAATTTTTCCTACATAATCTCACCACATTTATATCTCCTTTGTCTTACATTTGTCAGTGACTGGTTAGGTATGTGAGCCCACCTTCACAGGAAGACAGACTGTCATAAACACACCAGGTCAAGCATATAAACTCAAGGGGGCTTTGTGTGACTCCTTTTATTGTTCATTTGTGATTGGTGCCTTTCCCACTCATTTATCAATGCTGACCAAGTCAGCACACAGACATGTAGGTTGTAAAACACAAAGGCCCTGAGGACAATACACCACAACTCAGAACAGGGGCTATTAGTACTCTGGTGGACTTTTACAGACATTTTTAAAATGAAAAACTACATGTGCTTCACAGAATTTAGATAATATTTTAATGTAAATGGCTGTATACTGTTTATTCATATTACTACATTTCAGATTTTTTAATAAAAAAAAAATTCTAAAATATTATAAAGTAACAATAAATCTAGCTCACAACTACATTAGAACTCAAACAAAACAAAACAAAACAAAACAAAACAAAACAAAAAAAAAACAGTTAAAGGACCTTCTAAAATATTGAGAAGAAAAGGAAGAAAATGAGCAGATCATGATAATTAAGTTATTGTGGTCTTTATTTGTTATTATCGAATGAGTTATCAGGGAAGGATGTAGGCTATAAAAAGTCTGTTAATTCTGTAAATCTATTACTGACTTGCATAATCTTATCCATCCACAGATAAGCATCAGACTGGCAATTGTTCATTGTTATATAAAAATGTCATGTAAAGATTCCATTATAACCTTTAGGCTATGTCATGTGGATAACGGAGGTGACGTACAGTAATACCCTCAGTATAATGCCTTTCTGTTACCCGATCAGGTCTAGTCGTGCCTAAGTGAGATCTGTGTGGAAAATCCCTGAGGTGTGTATTTATGTGTATGTGAAGATGAGGGTCACGGTAAGTTAGGAAAAAAAAGAAAAAGAAAAAAAGCAGCTTGAGGTGGATCATTTTCACTTGTGTCATGGCATTTCATCTGAACTGAGAACAGTAGGGCAGACCAGAACTAGTTATCACATATTTAGTGAATATTCCTCAAGATTTAAGGTTTCATTTTTAAGTCAATTAATTAAGTCAGTTTCTGTTTAGACACATACCTTAATGTCCTGACAACGAAAAGCCACTGAAACGTTGCTGTCTTGGAAAAAATAAGAAGATACAGATCAGTCACTAAATTGCCATTAAACAACCTATTATAGGCTTTCCAGCTAAATTTGAACAATTAACGAAACAGCAAAAATGTAAATTATATGAAAATACCAAACCATTGTTTTAGCCAAAAATAAATAAATAATAGTGGTCGACCGATATTGTTTTTTTTGACAGCCGATGCCGATATCTTGGAAAGCAGGGTGGCCGATATAATTTTATTTATTTTAATTAATATTTAAGAAATCTGAAATCATTTGAAAATGGATTAAAAAATAAATGTGTTAAATTAACATACTTATACTTTAGATGACAAAGTATTTTTCACAAATAAATAAATATTTAAAAAAAAACTTAAAAAGTAAACACTGTAACCAACAGGGCACTCAGTATTCTGGGAAGTTTGTGAGCATTGGGAATCATATATTTTTTCAATAAAGCCAAGGTAACACTCATTTTACATACAGCACACAGTGGAAAGGACATGAATATGGCAGTGGGCAAATGCATAAAGCGCAGCATAATTTGAAATCACGAGTTTAAAGTTTGTCGATTGCGCGTCTCCAGTGAAGCTGAACTCTCCTCCTGTCTGCATTCAATTCGCACGGATCGACGTCACACAGAGAACACGCGATCGTGCAGGATACACATGCACACTTCGCAAGATCTCACAGCTGGATTTAACTAAGTTTGCAAGATTTTCTAAATTAAATGTTCATTAGTCATTCAAAGATTTGTTTAAATTATATAAATCCGTATTTGCTGAATGCTGACGGCAAACAAGAAAGTATTACAATGTTTGCCTTTCTATTACTAATAATAGGCCTAATATAAAAGCAATCATTATGATACTTTTTGTATACATTTTAATTACTTTGTTTAACCTGATTATTAGACAGACTTCTATTCATATAGACAGAACTGTTAACGACAACAGTGAAAAAGAGGGAGAATGTGAGCACTTTTTGCTCAGGCGCTGCTGTTCTCAGCGCCGTCAAAATAAAAGTACCGCCACGAACGCATCGGCCAAACAGGAAAACTTACGGCCGATGCCGATATTACAAAATGCCAAATATCGGCCGATATATCGGTCGACCACTAAAAAAATAATTAAACAAATAACCGTAATCAATCAATTTTATACATTTCCAATAGAGCTGTGCGATATTGAAGAAAAATGCGATACCTTGTTAAAAAAATGCGATATTCGATATGCAATACGATATTGCTTAAAGTGTGTAAAATCTATTTCAATATTTCCATACACTTTAAGTACTTCTTCATATGCCAGAGCAAAAACTATAGTCTGAGAAAGTTCAAACATGATTAAAGGCAAGTGAACAGTCAGTAAATCCGACTGCACGGATCCAGTATAATGATACACATCCGATTTCTTTCTCAGCTGTTTACATTCATTTAAAACATAACCGACTGCGTTTACGAGAATGATCGTCGAGACGGGTACTATTGACATAATTCTGTGTGCATGTGTCTGTTCAAACATGAGGAGTTGCGAAAGACGAATCAGCGTCTCTCTCTCGGTGTGTGTGTGTGTGTGTGTGTGTGTGTGCACTTTGCACGTGTGCAGCAGAACTGAAGAGATGCTGCTCGAGATGCGGCTTGTGCGCGCGCTTCAGACAGCAAGACGAGACGGCAAAGAGTTGTTTTCTGCAACTTATTAAACTTAACTCTTTTTAACGTCAAGCAATTCTCTGCTATATGCGTCGAACTAAAACGTTGACCTTTTGCAACGTTTTGATTTAAGTAGCCTATTATTAAAATGATTCAGATATCGCACGCCCTTGCGATATGCATATTGCTATATTTGCATTTGCGATATTTCGATCATTTCGATATATCGTGCAGCCCTAATTTCCAACATTTAAAATGTGGCAACTTGTCCCAAAAACTGATATTTATGAAAAATACGTGTCCTAGTTCATCCGTTCAGTCACAATCTACTGTAAAAATGTCACCAGGATATAGGTCTAGTGAGAACTTCCTCCTAACCTCAACCAGTTTCCTTAAAAAGTAATTAAATACTTTTAACAAATCTATAAACCTCCCATGATTATACAAAACATCAACCTAATACTTAACGTCTTGACTCATATGTAAACAAAGGCAAATTCCCATATAATGAAAGAATATATTTTCAAGGCAAATTTTTTAAATAAACGAATTCAAAGCTTACAATATTCAACATAAACTACTACTCAAACAGTAGTAAAAAACCCTTGAAAATGATCAGAGTAGGGAGCCGCAGCGTTTGGCACCTGCACTGAACTGAAAAAAAAAAAAGGTTTCAGAAAGGGAAGCTGCATGAACATCTCCTTTCACAGCAATTTTAAGGGCTCAATGGCCACCCTGGTAAAATTACACGCGTCTCATATTTCACATTAAATTTCTTTGTGGGCCCTTTCACAAGTATTTATTACTATTTGGTACGTGACACCTTAAAGCAGCTTAGAAAGTCTTTAAGAAATTCTGAGAATGTGCATTTGGTGTCTCAACCAATTCTAGCTGACCTAGCCCTTCATTAGAGCATTAGGGTCTTTCTAAAGGAATACTCCTAAAAGTCCATCGTGAACTGACAAGCAAATTGCTCTTCAGTCCCAAAGGCTTTTAGACCATTGTGTTTCAGAACTGTCATCTGCTTCCATAATTAGCATAACTACTATTTTAATCTTCACTTTACGAACAATTTAATATCATGCTAACCAGCACATAACAAGTATAGCTTATCTGTACATGCTTACAGAAGCAGAAGTATCCCTTCCCAAGGTTCATATGTTGAGAAAGGAACCCTTGAGTGTCGGCCTCTCTCATTACATGGGGGTGAGAGACCAGGGTCTGTTTAATTGGCCAACTGATTACAGCGCATATGCTCTTTCGTTCCACCGTTCTCCTGCAGACTCTCAGAAGCCTTCCTGTTCTCTGGCCTGCAGGTTCAGAGAGATCAGAGCCCCGCAACAAGGGCTTCCTTTGTGTGCTTCACTGGGCTGGGAAATGGAGATGAGTTTGTCCATTTGCCTCTGAGGCCACAGCGAGGGCTGGATGGGGCCCTGGGAGAAACGTGGGCTCAGGTATCACTAACGGCAGGTGAAGCATATGGCTCTGAACTGATATCTAACTGGATGAGATCTGGAAAAATCCAGCATGATCATAGTGCTGTGATGTTCTGCAAATGACACTGGAGCCAAGAACGTTCTTAAACTTTAGAACATCTGCACACACACAAAAACTAGATGATTTATGATTAACCTTAAAAAAGCCGTTTCAAAGCCGGTTCAATCTGCATTCTCTAATATTAAGGCGTAGCTCTCAGGGAAATTGACGGACCCTTAATAATTTTACATAAATTCTTGCAATTATGTGTCCCGTGAGTTTTTACAGCAGAACATTAAGGAAATATATGAATGCACATACACTTGCTTGATGTACTTGCATAAACATACTTGCTTGATGCATGAGAACAAACCTTATTGGTTCTTGTGTGCCAAGCAAGCGTGTTTGAGCTTCCATTACCATATTGATGTACTCTATGTATGTGTGTTGATCAATGTTTATATGTGTGTAAAAAAACTAAATTACATTATGTAGACTTTAAATGGATGGACAAAAATGATGAGAAAATATTTAAAAAAAACCCTAACCCTTCTATTCCAAAAATGAATGGAAGTCTTATGGATTTGGAACAACATGATGATGAATTTTTGGGTGAAGTATCTAATCACTTATTGTATTCTAAACATTTCTTTATGTTGCACCTTGATTAGTCTAAGGCCAGAGTTTTCAACCAGAGAGACTTTTATTCCAAAAACAAATTTGAAAAAATGTGCTTTATATAATGTTCTATTCACTCAATAATTAAAAAATAAAAGGGGGAAAAGGAGCAAAAATGTTGCCAAAAACATGAGCAAAAGAAAAGTGAAGCTGCTAAAATAGCCACAACTCAACCTGACTATACAGAAGAAAGGTAAATCAGTCTGTGTGCTGCACAATGTAATGGGTCCCTTATCTATTCACATCCCAGCACAAGAACTGATACACACTGCAAGAAAGGCAGCGGGCCAAGCCTCCACACGAAACTCACAAAATAGATTGTAAACAAAACTCGCCAGCAAAAGGATCTAAAAAATATGTTCTTAGTCTCTTAAAAAAAAAAAAAACTGTTCAGACTAAGTACAGTACAGTATAAGTGTTTGGTTATCATGAATAGATAGCTGGCAGTAGTTGGCAATGAATGGCAGAAAAAGTAATCAGGAGATTTGCAGAGAAACAGATACGCCCCAAAGGGCGTAACACTTCACTTTCCTAAAATGTGCTGCTTTTGTAATCACTAAGATATGAATTAATGTACTTCTTTTTGCATTTGCTAATCATAAAACTACACAACCCTTTCTGCAAACACTGAAATTTTGTAATAATCTTAGAAGTTAAATTTAACAGAAGAGCTATTAATTGGGTGTAAATGAGTAATTCATGGGTCTGTCTGAATAATTTCATTTTGTCAAAAGCTACTTATTACTCTTCCAGAACGTTTCTATCCATGCTTAATTAACTGGTCAGAGTGCTTCATCTAAAGACACACTGGGTTCAGAAGCCCAGACCTAAGTGCCTATTACTCTGGCCACTGCTTTCGACGCATCTAAATTGTGGGTGTGCGGATCTCATCTCCTGAGATGATGAGAGATTGGGTTCTTTTCCAAAGTGCTCTCGTCAAGTTAAGATTAAATAGACCCTTTAGCTGTCTCACCTGGGACTGTGGCCAAGGTAACTGAATAGAGATGCCTGGACATTTATTCTGTGTGAGAGAGTCTCCCTGCATTCTCAGGATCTGATGAGGATTACAGTGCTCTTATTGAAGAGAGCATGAGATGGAATGCAGCCTGTGCTAAGTGCCATAATACTGCAGAGGTCATGTGCAGTTTACCTGAAGAATGACAAAAAGGTGGAAATACAGCAGAATAATGTGGGTTGCCCTGCCCAGAACTGCAGATCATCATCATTTCAGACTTCAGTGTCACATGATCCTCCAGAAATCATTCTAATATGCTGTGTTTGGTGCTCAAGAAACATTTCTTATTATCAATGTTGAAAAGAGTTGCACTGATTAATATTTTTGTTGAAATTCTGATTTTATTTTACATTTTATTTACATTTTTTCACAATTTTTTTTATATAAAAAATTCAAAAGAACTGCATTTATTTGAAATTGAATTATTTTATAACGTTATAATTTTTGTTACTTCTGATAACATGCATGTTTACTGAATAAACTTATTCATTTCTTTAAAAAAAAAAAAAAACATCTTACAAACCCCAAATTACTAATAACATATAAATACATACATAAACCCAGCTAAATTGCAAGAGTGATGCAAATGGATGAACAAAATGCACACATTTGAAAATGGTATTTGCAGCCATAATGCTGCAGATGAACACTTTTTTTTACCCAAGCACCTTATTAAATATACAACTCTTTTTATTTCTTGGAAGTTGCATTCAAAATCTACGTAGCTAAAAAAAAACTTGCCCTCTCGGTTCAAATAGGCAGGATTTTTCTGAGGATATCTGACCCTTTTCATTATAATGTGAACCACCTAGACGGCAAGATGTTTCGGGAAAATTGCTCCTCATAAGGGAGGACCTATTCTTCAACTATATAAAGAGTTGATTCTAGATACTCTACTAATGCTTCTACTGACTTTTTGGAGATAAAAGAGTATGTGTCTCTCATCGATGACCCTGGGGACCTCTATTGTTTTCATGACCTTGAGGACAAGAGCAGGTGACCTTCCCCTGTCATTCTACTTGGTGACACTGCGATAGTCCTGCAACACAGGGCCTCAGGTCAGGCTTATCTCCACGCTTGACCATCCCTGTCATTCTAGAGGGGGACACACCTGAGCCAAAGCACATTCACATTTTCTGCTTTTCCATTTTTTATACTGAACACAAACAGAATTGGTATCTTCAGGATGTAATCATTGAGCAGAATAGTAACTACTACAAACGACCTCTTTAAACCTGAATGTATTGGTCTAAACATGCCCACAGTGAGGCAGGGCCTGTCAGGGTAGTCGTTAAAAACTGGGGCAAAAAATACATGTCAGAACCTTTCTATGAACTGAAACGGCATCTTTACATCATTCCTTGCGTTAGAATATGACATAACTAGAGTCATGTGATACCAGTCAAGAGCATGTACTTTAAGGTTTGATGAAGACCCACTTGTGAGCTCTGAGCTCCCTCTCGAGTCAATTGTAAAGAGCTGATATGACTCACTCTAATGATAGACCGCAGTGAAATAGCTGAGCTCTTAGTTATCGTAAGCACCACTTCAGGGAGTAAAACAACCCTGTGTTTAAAAGTTCATCCAAACACCTATTAAACAAAAAGATCTCTGCACGTCATCCATTAAGAAACAAACTCACTCAAAAATGAGGAAAAACATGAGCATCCAAAACAAAAATAGGAGAAATCTTCCCCTGATTATAAACATGAGTTAAAATTACAATATCTTTGCTGTGCAAACTTGAAAAGAACAGTAGTTTCGACATCGAGCACAATGCCGTGTGGGTCAGTCAACAGCAGCTGCGACCTCTAAGATCATCAAGCCTTCGTGCCATCTGTCCCCCTTCATCTGTCCACAGCAACAACGGTCCTTCTGAATCAAGGAGGGCAAGCAATCAAGGCTCTTACTCTCTATGCAAGTGATAAAAATGTAATTGGTGTGGTATGCGGCCACTCTTAAAATTCCACAGTTAATTGCAAAGGTCTGAATCAGGACCGAAATATACGAGTCATGTGGATTTGATCTAAACAGTTGAATGCAGAACATCCTAAGCCAAGTATTGACTAAAAGTTAGAAGCAAGGATCCAACTGGAGGATCCGGCCTTCTTACAATTACTTAGATACTGTCTCTTTAAATAATAACTGGGTTCAATGACACCATGCTAATTCTTTTTGTCTGGATCTATTCATTTATTTAACTCTAACTCTAACTCTAATACACATCTTATGTGATGAGCATGTTATTAAAATTAGTCTTCTTTTTTTGGAAGCTATAAGTAAAAAAAAATGTCAGTATAGTACAACAGTTCTCATAAAAAGCCTCAAAAATAATTTGTGTGTGTGTGGGGGGGGCATAATATCTAAAAAAAAATGTAATACATTTCTAAATATTTTAAAATATATGAAATATTTTTTAAATATAAAAAATACTATTAGAGTATTTAAATAACACTAAAATAAAATATTAAAATATTCAAGGCTTAAGGAAACTATGTTATTGCTTTTTTCTGTCTACACAAAGTAACGTGTAAATGTGTTACAAATGCCACAAGCTAAATTACACACAAGGTTTTTACAAAGATTAAATGAGTGAGTGAGAACCCTTCAGTCTTTGGGTTTAGTGATGCGTTCTACAAACCAGGGTTTGAATGACAGGACATGACCAGTTCATCTCTATCTTGTGGGCTCCTCAACACACAGTCTGACTCTTGATTGCACAGATACATGGCAGCTGACAGCGGAATCTGATCCCCGGGTAAGACTGAGCTTTCACTGACAGACTAATGGAAGCTCTCTCGTAGCCAGAGACGGAGCCTCAATGATATCTAGAGGAGCTGAGGGCCACATCAAAGACAACAATCCTGCCTGTGATCTGCTAGTGTCCTCCAGTTCTACATGAGAGCAGAGATGAGTGACGGCTGAGGTAAGAAGGGAGGAGGGGCTCTCGATCACTCCTCAACCCCATGAGAACTTACACATGGAGGAAGGACAACATGAAGTGGAACTGAGGGCCACCAGAGGTTCTGATGATATATAATCAAATGGACCATCTGTACCATCAAAATGAGGTGTAGCTGATGTGATATTCTCAGTCAGCTGTTATTTTTGAGACCATGGGAGTCACATCAACAGATTTGTGTCGAGGTGTATTATTAAATATATCTTTTATTGATCCTGTTCTGTGATTGACACACAACAGCTGTCTAACCACTACACCGTTATACACCTGCTTTCAAAACAGGTGCTATGCCATCTTGAAAAGTCAGGAACAAGAATGTATCTGGAACTGTGCTCTCTTAATATGTGGTCACCTTAACTGGAAAATATATCTTGTGTTCATTTACATCATGTTACAATCAAATAAGAAGGAGAGACCGGGGCTAGTTGTCACTGTTGTTATATGGTTTTAAAGGGGTAGTTCACAGCTGGAAAGGTAGGCTTTTAATAATACTTGGCTGTGTATGCAGTAGAAATGAAATGAAATAAATAACATTTAAAAATCAGTGCTATATGAACAAAGAAATCAGGCAAAATGAGCTATGATGTTCCCTTTGGCCAAAAACGTAATTTCAACTTTAATTAATTAATTTGATTTTGGCATTTGTGTCATCCAGATGACTTTTATTGACGAATCAACAGGGATATCTGGGTTCAATGGACATTTTTTTCTAAAGCAATGCTTATGAAAGGTGGGTTCAGACACCCAAGTAAAAAACTAAAAATAATATATATTTTTTTATGAATTATGTCAACCAAGCTAAACATCCAATCATTTCTAATATTGCTTAAATAACTATACTATAATGAAGGACAAGGTTATTTGTCATAAATGTCAGGTTGGGGTTATAATGCCACATATGTTGTAATTTTATAAATGATAAAAAACAAATTATAAATTCATAAAACACGATTGGACAAAAATATTTTAAAATTTTTTATACCTTTTCATTTCTTCAGTTTTATTATTTATTTAATAATTTATTTATTGTTCAAATTTTGAAGAAAAAAAACATGAACTAGTCTATTTAATTTGCATGTTGTGGATAATGGCATTTTTATTTAAAATATAGTGTCGTGAACATATCCCGACATGCTTCAATGAACTGCATTTTCCCCGGGCAAATAACGATGTCGATGGCAATGTTCAATTATTTTTTATTTATTTTTTTGTAGCCAAGACTTAAAGGTGTGTCTAAAAACCTATGTTAGAAAATAACATCATGCTGAGTGTTCGGTGAAATAAAACGTGTGACAACTAGCAGGAGTGGTCATTAGATCCAAGTCGGTTGTGTAAAAGATTTAGACTAACATAATGTAAAAGTGTCTAACGTTAAATAATAAGTCACGCTGTGTTGACATCTCGTTCATGAGTTTGGTGTTGGCAAAGAGATCTTGAGCGTTTGTCCCATAGAGTTTAACTGTCAAACTTAAAGAGCTCAAAGCATACTCACCGTCGACGTGTGTGATTTCATTCACATGTACAGAAATAAAACCACAACTCCTTCTAGTACGTGAAGGTCACCCGCATCCCCTCTGCAGCGATGTGGGACAACGCGGCCACAGTCAACTACAAAATGAGTGCGTTTGCTGCTGTGGTTTTCCGCGTCTCACCCTGGTCTCACCGCTCTCACAAACACAGTCTCTGATTGGTCGACTGGGTCTCGACGTCAGGATTCCTCAGTGTTGCCAGATTGGAAATGTCCAAGTATCATACCAGAAGCTCAAAATTATCGTACACGAGTCAAAACGTACAGAATACAGCTATTTATCTACTAGACTAGAACAACAACTTTTTGACACAACCTTCAAATTACCACAATAAATAAATAACTATGCTAGGGCCCTATGAAATACGTTTTATTTTTTTCCCAAATTCCTTTTTTTTTTAAATTCCAAATGTACATTTTTTTGGATTCTGTTTTTTTTTTTCCATTTTAATTTTTCTGGACTCCTTTTTAAATGTTTAAATTACATGTTATTAATCAAAATCACGTCTAATTAAATAATGAAACGTATACAATTCAACATCAAATCTATGAAAAAGTTTAACAAAAATTAAATGTTTAGGGTCTTATGAAATGTTAATTTTTTTTCACCTTGTTTATTGTTACCAAATTCTGTGTTTTAATATGTCTAATTATTTGAATGCATAAAAACTACTTTTATTTATAGCGTATATTATATATTGTGTATTTTAATTTTTCTGGTTATCGAATGAAGACATAACACATTAATTTAATTTATCTTTTAATTAATGAAAATTAAACAAATGTTATTTTTTTTGGCAAACAAAGGGAATTTACAATTAAAATTAACACATGGAAGAAATATTGTGATTATTCCTTAATAATTTTAGTAGTAGTAGTTGTACGTATATTCTACTGAACAATATAATACATTTCTGGCAGAAACTATATATTTTTGACTCTCAGAGCAGTTATGGGGATGTTGTTCATGTATTTATGTCCTATTTAGTGAGAAGGCAGATGCTGAAATCACCGCGAGCGTATGTGTGTAGTAAACAAAACCGCGTGACATTCATTCATTCCATAGACTATAATTCAGACAGACACAGAACATGCAGGATTTATATTTAAATAGCCTTTTTGCGGCTTAATATTTACATACTAGTCCATATCACGATTTAAGTGTAATGACCTTCCTTTGATTAATTCATCCAAACTTTAATTCCGTGACATTCCGCGTTATACAGTAATTTCCGTTGACTGGATTCCGCAATTCCATCCGTGTTTTCCGCATCGCGAAATCATAGGGCCATAGGCGTACCTTGTGGGAAGGTCCAAACTCCACCTCTGAGTCGCTGTCATCAGAATCCTGCGTAATGCCAGATGTTGAGGGTCCTGAGTTGTGCACCAGCCCATTTAGAGCGTCTGTAATGAGCCGATTGCTTTGTTTTGATGAGGTTGACTTTGGAAAAAACACGTTCTGAAATTTCGAAATTATCGTACATTATGGGATTTTTTTCATTATTGATCGTACATCGTACAGAGGTCAAAATTATCGTAGCCTACAAATACGATCATTATCGTACGTCAGGCAACGCTGGGATTCCTTTTCTTTTGAGTCAAATATTTTAGTGAATCAGTTGAACCAGTTCACATCTAAAGCGGTTCTCGAATCTGACTCATGTTCGTTCATGACATGTTCGATTCATGAACTGAATTACTGGATTGGGACCAGATCAGTGACTGACCGGCCGAACACTCTTAAAAACGTAATAAAACACAACAAAAAGTAATGTACCTGCTACATATGGATTTATTAGAACATTTTAGACCATGTTGTAATATGCTCACAAGGATGTCAGGATGATGCCGCAATTACAGTAAATTTTAATCTATTTACCGGTTCTTTGAAACGAATTGTTCAAAATAATCTATTGGCAGAAAAGGTGGACTGGCTTTGATCCTGTACTTTAGCGGTCACCACTCAAAACTATCCGCACACAAACATAGGTTTTCATAAAGTTGTCCATGTTTATTTTTTCCTCAAAGCAATTTACAGCAAAGTAAAACTGTTTGCCAAGAGAAGACAAAATTGCTGCAAGATACATTTAGTAAACTTTTATTTATTCCACATCAACATCTGATAAATGAGTGTCACACTCTGTAGGTAAAACCCTGTTATCCATAACACGTGTGCTTTAAGCATGATCTCGAAACAAACATTAGAAACCTTTTCATATCCTTGTTGTGGCACTTCATTCACCTACAAAACAACTGAGTCATTTGAAGTTCATTCCATGTTCTTTAATATCTCGTTTTCAAATGCTCCATACGCTGCTGAGGTAAAGTTATAGTTATAGCACATTTCAGAAAATTTAGAAACACTGATTAACAAGAACCTGAAGACAAACTCGTTTGAAGAGGTCTCTGTGTGCAGTACAGTGATTACCACAATAGAGCTGTAGCCTACATGGAAAAAAAACAGTACAAGGACATAGATACAAAAACACTAGACCTTGTTAGGTTATGTGGTTTGTATGCTTTACATTAGATGATCTTTTAAATAGGAAAAACTAATTATTTCAGTTATGATGTTCTTTTGATAGGACAGGTTCTCAAATAGAAACTAAGTTGAATTTCTGTGAATGTATTTGTGTTTTTCTTCCTCAATTCACAACATCCAACAAGAGAGTGCAAGAAAGTGTTCACATTACTTATCATGGAGCTGGTCAGTCTTGACATTAAACTGATTAAGAATTTGTTTTCACCATATTAACATTTTCATGTACTGATGTCACTTCATTACAGCTGATAACAAAAAACAATACTAAGTATAGACACAGAAGTATAGACCGGAGACAATTAACACCAGACAAGTTAGTAGGCAACATTTTTGTACAGTATTAGCACAAGATTGTAAATAGCTATGGCATGGTAACATATTTTACCTGATGAAACAATATTTGTGATTCTTCAAAAAATCTATGATATCTCTTCATTGGAGTTTTTTTTTTTTTTTTTTAAAGAATCCTTCATTCATATTATAATGATATCAAGAATAATAAATAATTATATGAAAATAAGCAAAATTAAATTATGCAGTATAATTCAGCGCATAAAATGCAAAAAGAACAATCAGCTGTAAAATCTCTCCACATTTGCGTTCTTTAACTTATCTTTTCATATGTGAAGCTGTCATGTCTCTGACTTTGGCTTTCTTTAAATGATTGCATTTCATGCGCTTCAAAACAGGTCAGTTTAATAACAGGAATATAGAAATTATTCCTGATTTTCCCACTAATGTGGTATTAATACTGATATTTTACAGTTGTTGTTTGCTCCAGAGCACCTTATGGTATAAATAACAGTGACTAAAATTTTCAAAGTACCCATATCTGCATAACAACGTCTACACAAGACAACCTGGATCTACTGTGAGGAACTCAAAAATAATATACAAAAGACAATATGTAAATAAAATAAACTCAATTCCAATACCTAACATAAAAATAAATAAAAAAATGCATATAAAAATTAACATCCAGCAACAGCATTATCAGTTGTTATAAATCATGACGAATTAAGCTTGAAGCAATGTGTGTGTTCCTAAGATACATTCCTGTCATGTCACTGCATGTTCTCAATGGCCATTAAGACTGAAGGAATTAGTGCCAATTAAAAGAACCACAGAAAGCTCTTAATGTTACTCCTGAGGGTGTTAAAACTTCCAGTGTAGGTTCTAGTGACAACTTTTCATCCTCCCAGAATTCCTACTATGGAAACTAACCTGGCATGTGTAATGACAGACGAGCCGAATTACTGTAATCAGAATGTGATAGAAACACTGAAGACTTCTTCATATACAAAACGACTCAGGGCAAAAAAAAAAAAAGAAATAGCAATGAAATAGCACTTCAATCATTTTAAAAGACAATATCCTTTAGTCTTAGTTTGTGGGTCTGGTTTTGTTTATTCATAGATGAGTCCACAAATCTCCACTTAAACAGGATGAATGCATGGAGGTCATGGTAAGGACAGGAAGTGAACTTGAAAAGTCTTAATATAAGATGACAGCAGTTCTTTTCCCCCCCTCATTGAATAGAACAGACTGCATTGGAAAAAGACGTCTTCTTGTTGCCACACATAGCTGGAAAGGAAAGAATGTGCAGACTGGTATCAGACCGCTTATTTTTTGTCTCCTGTTGGAAGTGTAAAGAGGTAGACACGCCGTATTGGGAGGAAACCTGTCAGAAAAAATATTTGCAAAAAACATTCTACCACCCTAAACATTGCATTACTGACTAACAGCTTTTCTTGTAACCCAGAACATGAAGAAAATCTTCCCGACTAGGTAAACGAAAGTGAGTCTGAAATAGATCCATAAACTTTGACAACATTTCAGCGAATGCCAGATGGCACTAGACACTGTCCACAGTTCACTGACTTTCCCAAGCATTCGGGCACAAGTCTTTTGTAGCTATTATAACCATGTTGCTCCATCTTTGTCAAACAGTTGGCACAGTAACTAATGTTACGCCACAACTTTCCGACTAAAGTTATTTGTGCTTCCCAGATGCATCACATGCTGGAAACCTAACTAGCAACATTTTTCAGCACTGACCCATTAATCTCAGCATTAAGCCAAACAGAATCACGCAAGCTTGTTCCAACGTCAAATTAAGAAGAATAACACATGCATCTGAAGGAACATGACATGCCTCCATGACTTAACCCTATCATATCTGATACATTATCAAAACTGAAAAACCTGTTGCAAACAATCTTCTACATGCCTTCTGTCATCCGATTGATAGTTTATACTTTTATAAGTAAAAAAGTATAAACCAAACTTTCAGTATAATTGTAAAAATGTCCACCTTCAGTTTGTGGTACACGTCTTTTTGCTGTGAAATCCTTACCGATTTTTATAAAGTAAATGTAAGAATAACTTCTATATTGTTAGTAATATTGAAGCTACTAAAAATCATGTTAAAATGTGAGCATGTATCAAATAAGACATATTATTGGGAGATATAGAGTGACAACTGATATTTATATGCATTTTATATCATACTATATGAATCATAAAAGCCTGATGTACCAAATACGATACTATTTCAGAATATGATTTCATTTGCCAGTCGTTTCAGGGTTAAAATGAAGCAATACATATTGCTGTGGCAGAAAAGCTCATCTGACAACAAAAGAGTGTTTTAAAACAAACCTACGTGGTGTGTTTTTCACTTGCTCCTGTGATGGTGCTGCGGTTGGTGCTAGCGGTGTCGTCGTGGGCTTGGGACGCCCCCTCTGACACTGTGGCCCGGTGAGGCAGAAGCCACTGAGTGATGATGTCCAGCACGAATAGGCTTAGCTATAAGAAACAGTGCAGTTCAAAATGAAACATATTTAAAAAACTTTTAACTTACAGATAGAATCTAAAGTAAATGAATATGCGCACATACATATATGGAATATGCATAATATATGGGAGACATGTAGCAATGCATGAGAGGGTTTGGTCATCAGGTAACAGGAGACGAGGTGGTATTACTGAGTATGTGGCGGCCTCTACTGGATATAATGCAACATTGAGATCTGAAGATGAAGCAGCTCTGACCGATCTGTGCGGTGTGTTTCATCCTGGCCTGGTTCTTGGCTCGGATGACCTCTTTGATACGGTCCACCTCCTGTTGGTACTTCTTACGGTCTCTCATGGCGCTTTCTTTGGCCTCTCTCAGAGCAGACTCCAGGATCTTCACACGCTCAGCAGTTGCACGCAAGCGCTTTTCCAGTTTGGGCAGCTCACATCTTAAGTCTGCATTATCATGTACCAGCTATGGAAATTGCAGAATATATAGACATAATTACTAATACCATATTATATTATAATATACATTATTATTCATTATATCATATTAATTTATAAATAATCATTTATTTGTAATTTCTGTGAAAAGTAAAAAAAAAAAAAAATCCCAAAAACCTGCTTGTGGACTTTAGTGAGCTGCTCCAGGTTGTTCTCGAGGAAAATTATTTTCTGTTTTTGTGCCAGACTTCCCCCTGATTCATCAGTGTCCAACTCTGCACTCTACAAAACAGAAATGTCATTTTTTTCCACAGTGGCCAGTTACACCTTATTTATTTGAACCATTTTAAAAGCAGTTTAATAGCTACAAATGTTATAACTATTACTGCAGATATCACCATACTTCCTCAGTTGATTACTCAGTACATTAGGAAAAAGTGTTTAGCTTTGTTTTCTAAAATGATGTTTAAATATGCAAAAGAGGCATTATCAAATTAAATTAGCTCTAATTTGCATAACATTCCAGAACAGAAATCTGAACATTGGATAAAGCCAGGTTCAATTTGTTTTGCTTTGTGGACATATTAGAGTTAATGGTTTTTACAGAGGATAAGTTTGTACATATATCATTTTGTACAATTTATACATTATATTCCTAAAAACATGGTAAAAAGGTATTGTTTTTCTTGCTTTTGACAGTATTTACTGATTTATGGATTGATAAAAACAGATATCCAAAATGTAAAAAAAACTTAGCATCTGTAAAAACCTTTTACTTATATCTCAACAAAATAAAACAAGAATTTTATTCAGAATTTAGATTGGAATAAACCTACTACTGAATGGAGATTTTTGGCTCAGTGCATTAGAAAACAGCCTTTAATGATATGCATTGAAATTAATATCTACAGACGCACATAGATAAAGTGTAACAAAATAAATGCTTATATATTTTGTTTACTGTGTGGAGACGTGCTGATATCGCGTTTGGTCTCGTTCTGTATCGCGTATCTTGTCAGTGTCTGCGCTTGCTTGGCCATTTGTTGCGGAGAAAATAAGGAAAGTGTGTCCAGCTGAATTAATTTAGTATTTTGTTAGACGGGTATAAAAAAGCTTAGTTTACCACGACAGCTGTCGCGTGAAGGCCTCCTCGTATGAAGACAGAAGAGTGTAAAGACCATCGACTCTACCGTGCGACTCCACCGGGCAGGGACACCGGCAAAGGATAAGTATCGCTTTTTATTTCGCCTCTTTCCTATTACTTGTTTCACTTCTGTTTCAGTTTTTATAACCATTTCTTACTATGTGTAAGTAAGTTGTTGTTTTTTAGCATGTGTGTTTGGCAGTGTTATTTTTTAGGATTA